ACTGTTAGGACTGTTGAAACAGCACTGCCACCTTAGTTGCAACCTGCCATGTTTAGAAGCCTGACCACTAAACTAAACCCAAACTGTAAGCCCTAAACCTTTAAACCCCTAAGCCCGAAAGCCTAACCCTAAATTACCCTGAAACCTCCTAATCCTAAACCCTTCCGCTCAGCTCGGCATGACACAGGAGAGCAGAACGGGCTAGTCGAGTGTTTTTCAAGTAGTGTCTATATGATGGGGTGTTATTATAGGGTTCTTCAACGGGTTCCTTAATACTATGGCGCTGTGATACAAATCATTCAAATATACAGGCCATAGCATATAGAATAGGGCTTGGGGATATAATGCTTTAGAAATAGCACAAGTTTGAATGGGTGGGCTTCAAGATCCTCAGGTCCTGAGAGTGTTGGGCTTATTAAGGATTCATTGAAGGTTTCCTTTTCAACATCCACTTCAGGGTTATAGAGCTTTGCGGGAAGGGCTTTAAGAAGGCAGAATGAACGATGTGACAATAATAATTCCTAATGTTGTTTCTGCTCAGCTCTCCACTATGCTGTCGAACTGCGCAAAGCAGTAAGCCCTGCTTTCAGCATCCCTGCACAACTTCGCCAGACACTGCTGCCCCAGTATCCAGCAGTTTATTAAAATCCAATTTGCGGCTGAAACATTGTGCATCATGATTCTCATCATGACAACAGTCTTCTGCATCATAACAGCAAAAGAGTGACCCTCGTCTTATCTTATGTTGGTCATCTAAACCATCACCTTCAATCTGTCAATGTCAACTGAGGCCCCTCACCTCAGCCGAAAGCTTCTGCGGATATTGTGCTGTTTTGGAAGCTCTATAACAACCCTGAACCCTCGAACCCCGTTTGAAAAGCCCTAAACCGCTTAAGCTCTTAGGGACATGACACAATTCCCCTGGGCCCCGGTCGGGAAGCGCAGCATCTGGAGAGGCATGCCCAGAGACCTAGCAACCAAGGCATGCGAGATGAACACAGATGGGCGAAAACTGTCATGGCAGTTCAAAGCAACATAATGCAACATGGCCAGACTATCACAAGCAGTCGCCACTGTTGGAGGAATGGGCACAAAAAGGCACAGACTATTGTTTCTTGTCAGCAGCTCTTGAAACAACGGCCTTGCCGAATGTACGTCAGATATCAGATGCAAATGCAAAACTGGACAAAGCCTGCCCTGCGCCGGAGTAGCTAGACTGTTGCTATTCTTCCCTCCAGTTCTGCGCTACTTATGAATCAGAATGCAACTTTGCAGGGGGACTTGCTTGTCAGAGTTAGGCTTCTGAGTTCGCAGTGAATCAAGCGAACCAAAATCAGAGCCAGCTACACAAGCGAACGAAAATCAAAGCCAGCTACACAATGGTGTCTGCATCAGAAGCTTCCCCCTCTGCTTCACCATCTAAGCCCTCATCATCCTCCTTGCTGCCTGCTTTGCCCTCGACCTCAGAGTCTTGCAATGCTTGGCTGGCTTGGCCAGTGCTGTGCGCCCCCTCTATGCTGCGGTGTGTGGAGAGGACCCGTCGCCCACGCAGCAAAGTGGTCTCTCCACGCAGGCCTTCGATCATAATGGCGAGCTTCAAGCGTTGCTCCAAGAGCCGGCGGTGATCACTGTTCACCACAAAAGAGATGCATGTTACATCTTTGCGAAGCGCGGCTAGCTCCACTTGGCCATAGCCGGGGGTGAAATTCCAAAGCACGGTTTTCTTGTCTGTGCACTGGAAGAGGTGCACCCATTCGAGGTACAGTTCTTCCTTTGTAAACTGACTAACACCTCAGCTAAAGTTTCAATTGTTTTGTCACTAAAGCTAATTTAATAACATTTTTCAAGCTCTCGGCTGAGGCACACAAGCTGTCCAAGGATACCATGGCAAACCATGCACCTCATCGGATGCTGTGCCCCGACCCCCCTCATTGTCATTCTCAGCGTCCACTGGCACCATTGTCGTCACTGGCATGCCTTTCTGGAGGTTTGCATAGGCTGCATTGACGACTCTGATGCCATGCTGCTCAGCGGTGCGAAGCTTCAATTCCGACAAGCCCAAGCGGCCAGAGCCCGAATTGACCAAATGTTGGTGGCCGCGGTCCGGCGCAGTGGCCTCGCTTCCAAAGACCATGTACACAGTCTCCAGCGGATCTGCGAGCGACCGATTCTTTGCTCTCTGGCCTGCAGCATAGCCACCATTATGAGGCTCGAACTCATTGTTCGTGTACAGCAACCGGAATGGCGGCTGCAGCATCCGCTTCTTCGGCAAAGATGGGTGTGCCTTGTGGGCTTGGATGAGCTTCCTTATCTTGCTGGTGCAGTCAGGCCGTCGTCCATCAAAGAGGCAAAGCATATCGTTGGGATGGAAATTGATCTGATCCAATGCAAACGTAGCCTT